GTTCCTTCTAAGTGGGATTCTGCGCCAGGAGGTCAACCCCGGTGCCTATTTGTTGAGCAGCGTGGCGGAGGACAGTGCACCAGCTCCCGCCAAACGGAGGCGCTGAGTTTGGACAGAGGACAATCATTGTTTTCGATAGAGACTTTTCCCTGACAAGCAGGCTAGTTATACTCCCGTTAGGTAGGATTACCTTTTTGCTTTCTTTGTCAATTCTGTCATAAACATGGAGATTTCTGCGTGAGAAGGCTCCACTGGAAGCTGGCATTCCCCCGACTTGTGTGTTAGGAATTGTTCTGGGGGTGAGTACGCCGAATGTGCTCAGTCACTGCCCTGGATCTAGTGTTAATCACGTAAGGACTGCTTCTGTCAGAGCCTTTCACATAGGTGTTCCGTTTAAGGATCCCAGCACAGGTCTTTAGAGTATACCAGCCTTTCCGGCTACCGGGAGCCATCTTTTGTATCAAAGTGCCTGGAGGGAATTCGTCAGTTATATTTGGTAAAGAAAACCCACACCCCGAGGAGGTGGTGTTCCTGAACTCTTTGGGTGCCTGTCACGCTTTGAAATATTCACTAATGGTGATGACGGAAATAATTTATGATTATCTGGTAGGACAGCAAACCCAAATGGTCCCATAGAGTTCTGCGGATCGGACTGGATTGTACAAGCCGGCTGCCTTTGTCTTCCTGTAGTCAGTGACTTGTGCGGCACTGCTGTCTGTCCGTTGGCATTCACTGCTTATGTGTATGTAGCCTTATTGTATCATGTAGTGTGAACACGTAGATCATTTTTTTTTTTTTATTTTTTTTAGAGAAAAGAATATTCTAGACCAGCGAGGGTTCCCTGCAGCAGAGCATACGGGCATTATAGGTTGCAGCTACACATGGGCAGTTTTTAGTAGCTGGATTGTTCTTCTATAGTCCCTAGGAGTAGATATGAGTCCAAACACAAAGTTGCAGCAGCTGTAATATTAATCACTACTATTGCACTTTGTGTAGGTTACATAATAGGGATCCATGTGTTTTATCTGTGTAGTGAAAAAGCCCAACTGCAGGCACTGTCTCCCTCTAAAGCCTGTGACATGAGCCCGATATTTTATGCTTCTTTCTTTTTTTACTCTTTACTGACCTTTTTCTGATGTCTTCTGGCCAGCTGGGTTCTCCTCCGCCTTGGTATTTACCCAACAATGGGCAGTCCTGGATGATGCAGAGAGTTCTCCTCTCCTCAGCAATATAGTGTGAGTGCAGGATGCTGTGCTGAGGGGTGTGTGGCCATGACACCCTACCCTCAGCCTTTCCTAAATCGTCTGGGTTAAACGATGGGCGCCATTGAATCGTCTGGGTAGAATGATGGTGGGCGCCATTGAATCGTCTGTGTAGAATGATGGTGGGCGCCATTGAATTGCCTGGCTTGGACGATGGTGGGCGCCATGAAAACGCCCGGGTAGAACGATGGTGGGCGCCAATGAAACGCCCAGGTAGAATGATGGTGGGCGCCATGAAAACGCCCAGGTAGAATGATGGTGGGTGCCGTTGAATCGCCCGGGTTAACGATGGTGGGCGCCATTAAACCCCAAAGACTGAGGCCATTTTGTGGCCAAAATAGGTACTGTTGGACAGCTCCAAAATGAGGATGAATATTGCAGTCTTAGGGAGGGAGGAACGACATAGGAAAGCAAAAGAACAAATTGTAGATGGAAGTCGGGCTTTGATCACTAGAGATTTTAGTAGTGTGGTTAAGTTACTAAGAACTGGTTTAGGAAGCTCTGCTGCATCTCTGGGTTACTTGCCAGGTTTAAACTCAAAGCCTTCGCATTCCACCTGCTCAGATACGATGGGGCAAATAGATATAAAGGATTTAGGAGAGCTTGTGGCCCATAGAAACCCAATCATGGCCGCCATTTTTTATTATCCAGCACAAATGGTGAATGGAGCGTGGTTGTGATGGGCTGGAGACAACTTTCTCTGCTTTTCATTTTTGTTTTATTAAAAACTGCACCCTGTAATTTATCATGTCCGATCTTTTGTAGATTTCCTGCACCTGATGCATTCTTAATCTGTGCCTGTATATAAAGCAGAGCCCTCTGTATATAATAAAAGTGACATATTTTTTGCTTTTTGTTTTTTCCAATTTGCTTGGTTTGAAACACTTCAGCTGGCCTTTCTCAACCAAGGTGCCTTCAAACTATCCCAAAAGGGGGCTCCTGATGTGAAAGGGAAGGACTCCGATGTGAAGGTGGCAACTTTAAGTTGGCTTTATTTTGTGTTACCCCCCTTTAAATCTATACCAACCTTCTGTCTATGAGGGTTTGGTATTAATTATGGAGGAAGGGACTGCACATTGTGGTTTTTATATAGACTATATATTTATATAATTTACTCTGGGGTGCCTCATTTGCATACTTTAAGGGCATCAGCACTGGGGGGGAAAAAAAAAAAAGAGTGGAGAAATGCTGACTTTGGCTGGAATCTTGTGTTGAAATGCAACAATTAAACACGTCACACTTGTGTCTTATGGGCGGTATGTGCTGTTCTTGGTCCTTCTTTGTGGCATTCAGGATATCAAAACAAAAAATCCGGTCCTGGTTAATGTTAAATTATTTTCCTAGATATCATTTCCTTACAGTTTTTCATCTTGGTACCTTAGGAAATATTTTATGCCCGTTTCTCTGAGATTTAATACCATAAATTGCCATTTTTACTACGTTATGTCCTGAAGTGCCATCATCTGTTTCTGGAATTAAGTAGGTGTGACCACCCACCCCCCCAGGGGGGGAAAAAAAAACAATGACTTGTGTACCTGTGTGTTAAATGTTTAGGGGTGAATGGGCCCTATACTTCATCTACTGTGACCTGCATTGTGTCTTGACACTTCATTGAATGTGGACCAGGTGTCAGTGAAATAATAGACAACTCTTTTTAGCAAAGGGGTGTGTGTGTGTGTAATATATATATATTCTCATTCTGGCCAGCGATTGCTCTTGGAAAGGTAGATGAAGCATACGGAGTGAAAATGAACAAACACTGCTGGTATTGAGGGGGTTAAAGCATGGAGCTTGGTAATTGTGCAAAAGATACAATAAATGTACAGGTCACATACAGTTGGAAGATGGAGGAGAAGGGGTTAGGAGTAAAGAAAAGATCTTAGAAAAAAAAAATCCCCCTGTGGTTTTATTGTATTTCTCTAGAAAAGTTTCTGTGATTTACAAATCATGGAAAAAATAAATATTTAAATACACATTATGTACAAACTGGTCACCACCATTCCAGAACGCTGCAGTGTTAAAGCCAAACTGAGCTTTTAGTTTAAACCCCCAAAATACATTCCATGTGCGCCAAGTCTTACAGCCTGAGGAGAGGAGGATTCCTGCTGTGGAAGCAGCCATCTCCCTGCAGAGGTCCGATACACAACCTGCTGAGTCAGTGATAAAGCTCTCCATTCAGCAAAGTTCCTGCTCTGACTCCGCAGGGTGTAGATGTCTGTCAGACCTCTGCACCCACACAGAAAGAAGGAATCCTCCGCTACGGAGAGACCGCTGCACCCACACAGAAAGAAGGAATCCTCCGCAACAGAGAGACCGCTGCACCCACACAGAAAGAAGGAATCCTCCGCTACAGAGAGAGCGCTGCACCCACACAGAAAGAAGGAATCCTCCGCTACAGAGAGACCGCTGCACCCACACAGAGAAGGAATCCTCCGCTACAGAGGGACCGCTGCACCCACACAGAAAGAAGGAATCCTCCGCTACAGAGAGACCGCTGCACCCACACAGAAAGAAGGAATCCTCCTCTACAGAGAGACCCCTGCACCCACACAGAAAGAAGGAATCCTCCGCTACAGAGAGAGCGCTGCACCCACACAGAAGGAATCCTTCTCTACAGCATGCAGGCAGGGGACACTAGAGCAAGAGGTGAGTGAGGTAATTTTAAGTGACACTAAAGTCTGAGGGTAAAACGTACAAGCGCCTGAACTAGTAACAAAAATGTATCTTATTTGTGTATCACTCGACTGTAGATCCTCCAATCATCTCTGAATTGGTCCGGACACTGTCCTTCTGTCTGGAGGGGGGGCTACTTGTGTTCCCCGTGTGTGTTGTAAAGTAGTCACCGCTCCAAGCTCGCTCCCGTGATGGACTACAATCGCATGCTTAGTTTACTAATTTATATTGAGATTGTAGTCCATCACGAGAGCGAGTTTGGAGCGGTGACTACTTTACAACACACACAGGGACCATGGGGAACACAAGTAGCCACCCTCCAGAAGGAAGGACAGTGTCAGCACCAATTCAGAGATGATTTGAGGATCTACAACCGAGTGATACACATAAGATACATTTTTATTACTAGTTTAGGTATTTGAATGGATTTTTAAGGTGTAATGCTTGAGTTTAGTGTCACTTTAATGGGGGTACCTGCTCTGGTGACCACACTTAAGAGTGAAGGGAATTCCCTTCATTTCCTGTCCTGGAGCCACAGAGAGAGAGGTTATGTGGCTGGGCCTGTATCACAGATTTCAATTTATTGAAGCCAGGTAAGTAAAAATAAAATAATTCGGACTCTTCTACTCCTCTGGCTGCTTTTGGTTATTGTATCACGCACACTGATCTTTGCTTTATTAAAGACACTTTTCTAGACACTGTGCTGAGCCCTAAATGAAGGTTGCCTTTTGTCATCTCTCCTGAAAATGCTAGTCCCCTGGCCCTGTCCAGTTTTAGTACCTTTGAGTAACTGAACCGGAACAAGCATGCAGAATGTAAAGATGGAACTCTGGAGTCAGAAGATAAAGGATTTGGAAGTCACTGGATCTGCATGACACCCCGGCAACTAGCACTTTCAGACGTCAGCAATGCTAGCCTGCGTATCACTCTCTGTATAGGTTTCTTTTAAATGAAGCCAGTAATATCACTGAGGTAGTAAGTTCCCCCTGGATCACACTACTCATGAATCAATCACCTTGTGCAAAAATGACAATGTCATAACATTACATATGCCGTCCCTGGTGGTTACATCAGCTCTTCATCCTCCTCTTCATTATCAACATCCTCCTTAAGTAGAGCAGCTCCAAGGCTCTGCAGATTGGCCAGCATATTAGAGAGAGATTCTGATAAATAAGAAAAACAACATAAGACTCATAAAAATGTTGCCAGTTGCCTTGACATTTATTTACAGATATGCTATGACCTGGATGAATGAGAACCTTCACAGACACTTATGCAATGCGTTTCTGTAGGCACAGCACATCATTAGTTGATATGTTGGGCTTACCTTTTTATCGGCTATCATCTGTGAATGACACATCCCCTGCTCTCTAGATAATGGAATTGGGGGGAGGGGGGCTGATAGTCCAAATAACACTGTTCTTTCATAGATACAGTACAAGTAGTGTTGTCACCCTAGGCCAGGAAGTACATTATTGGCAGGATCAGCAGGTATAAAAGGCGGGGGGGGACCTGACAAAAAATAAATCTAATGCAGCCACCACATAAGGACTAGAAAGCTGCAATATATGTATCTCTTATCTAAAGTGTTTCTATTTAGGTTTAGTGTTTGCATGGAGGTAACATTTTGTATGAGGGTAAAATGTTAGGATCATTAAAAGGAGATCTACGAGGTGAGTGATTTCCACTAATCCTCATAGTCAGAGCCGAACTGTGACAAAGAAGCTGTCACAGGTCAGATCTATCGATCAGGAAGTGAGCAGAAACTTCCCGCCGATCCGCTCACATCCCTGCAGTGAGCGATGACTGTCAGTCACAGCTCCCCGCAGAGATTCCCCCCTCCCTCTCCGATCCTCGAGCACTGAGTGAAGGAACAAACGAGGGGGCGGGCACAGCTGGCTCTGCCTCTAGATTGGCAGAGCCCGCTGTCATTCAGCCAGCTGGGTGGATCTCGACAGTATTGTCAGGATCCGTCCTGGCTGCAGCGTTCTCAGTATATAGCAAGTAATAGCCCGCTATATACGGAGCTTTGGGTCACGGAAGGAGGTTAGTATATGACCTCCTGTGACCCTAAAGAGAACTATGGGGGGAAAACACTTACCCCCCATAGTTCTCTATTAAATACTTACTCTTTACAGGAGCTGTTTATTAAAGTGCAGCGATGCAACAACTGCCCCTGGGTATGTTGGTGCTTGTAGTGATCCTTATGTTAAATTCTCAATGTGTGCATTCAATTCAATTTTCAATGTGTGCTGGCAATTCTTGACGGTAACATTCTCTGGTCAGATTGTAAAGGGAGAGATGTAGGAAGTTTATCCCGTGTGCCCAAAGGGTATGGAAACAGAGACATCACTTTTATTTCCGGTGCCCCAGCAGGTTCTGGAGTACCAGCTGGCCTATTGCTCGCCAAAGTGCATATGAAAGCAAGGAGAAATCACCTTTACTTCCTGCTGCCCCTGGAGTACCAGCTGGCCTATGGTCCTCCTCAGTGCGGATAACCGAAGACTGGATCGCAGCTGTCCGATTTTTCTGGTATGTGACCAATAATCCCTCCTGCCGCAGCGTGGCCTGGAAGAAAAGTCACAGCACGTTCATAGTTGTGCATTAAGAGCATTCAAAGCTAAAATATTTCATGGGTACTAGGACAAGATGGCTAATTTGGCAGTCAGGGGATTGGGGGTTCAAGAACAAAGGCTTTTCCAGAAGTAGACTCACAGTCATGAGGTTTTTGTCCCTTTCTGCATCCCGTAGCTGTCCGGTTAGCCGCTCCTCTCGCAATCGTGCGGCATCTTCTAATGTACGCATTGTTTCCTGACTCCGATTCCTCTCCCGCTGCATCTGCCGTTCTGTCTGACGAAGAGCCACAACTAGGGAAAAGCAATGTGAGAGTTGGCACACACAGCCATATGTTATCATAGACCTATGGGCGCATACAGGGCAGTTAGCGGATGATGAACTGTACATCCTTTATGGAATTCCAGTAAGAACTATTCATGTATAGTATGACCACATAACCCTATCCACATTTTAGAGAAACTACCATTTGTTTTCTTGTACATAGAGGAACACAGGAGGTCTTATGATTACACGCATATGTTTTAGGAGGATAGACATCTGATGACTTTTTTTTTTTACATATGTTTTTTTCATTGCTGCTGGAGTTTTGTTTTTTCGGTATCAGCTACCTGGCACAGCTGTCCACAGCCTGGCATCTGGAGTACAGAGTCCTGACCCCACTAGACGTTGCAAGGCTAGCCTGGAAGTGGCCTTCAGGCACTGGTTTCTGTATAAGGTGCTTGCCTGACTGTCTGCTAACAAGTTTGCCGCAGAGTGCTTTCCAGATCCAGAACCATTGGCATTGCCTTGGTGTTTGCCCGGTGTGAAGACCCAGCTGAGGACCAGGAGCTACCAGGTTTACTTGCTGGGAGGCCATTATTCCCGGTTCTTGCCTATTTTGCCATGGAAAGGGTTAGCACTGTGGGACCGAGCACCAACATCCGCTCGGTGGAGTGTCATGCACACGTGCTCTCTTCCCAACAGTATCAAGAAAGCTACTCCCCGCTGTTGCTCCTGCTTGCAAAAGCCTCATGCAACTTCAACTGTTCCTACTGCCCCCTGCACTGACTCATAAAACCCAGACAGCTGGTAGCAGGTGAGGGCTGGGGGGGATGACCAGAGTAAGAGCCTATAGATTACTTTACTGCCACTGTAGCAGGTGCCCCCCAACTCGCAAATGACTCTGGGACTCCTTGCAGTGTGCCCACTACTGCTGGTGAGGGCATCTGCAGTCTGTTGCCCTCTGCCCTTTACTTTGGTTATGTAAGGCATCAGGGTTTTGGATCACCAATTTACCTGCTGATCCTGATTGCAGAGGCCGAAAGAGCGCTCCCATGCCCTCTCCTGCAGATTCTAAATCCGAGTTGCCTGGGAGCTTAGTGGCTTCCCAAGCCAATCGGCCTGAACCTTCCAAAATCAGTGCTCGAACTTACTCGTACCTTGGAGCACAGCAGTGGCATACATCAACCATCAGGGAAGATCCAGAAGTCTTGCTGTGCCAAGAGAGGTAGAGTGGGTCCAGTGTGTACGTGTTCATGCATGGTCAATTTGCAGGCAGACATCCTCTGGACGCAGTGGACTCTACTCTACACAGAAGGGTGTTACAGGTAGGGAGTGCCAGATGTTGATTGTCTGGTCTCCATAATCAACATTAAACAGGACAAGTTTGTCTCCAGGTTTGGGGATCCTCAAACAAGTGTAGTGGATGCTTTAGTGACTCCATGGGATCAGTACACCCGGCTCTATGTCTTTCCTTCCCTGAAATTCCCTTCTCATCTGACTCTTACCCATAAGGTGGTGTTACATGTAGCCATCAGCTCTGGGAGGCAAGTGGCTGCCTTATCCTGTAAAGAACCCTTCCTGGTCTCACACAAGGTGGTTTTGCATCCTAGAATTTCCTTCCTAAAGTAGTTTTGGCCTTTCACCATAAACAGGATATCCTTCTTCCATTTTACAGAAGATTTCTCTCCATTGCCTGAAAATAGTTCAGGCTGAGAGAGGTTATCTTCCAGTCTCTGCTTCCTCCAGAAAGACTGCCTCTTTTCAGACGTAAACGTGCACAAGCTTCCTGCCCCACCTTCTCTCAGTGGCACAGTCAGACCATTATCCAAGCTTAAGGTCTTAGGATTCACCCATTCCTATCAAGGCAAAGTGTGGAATCCAATGCATTCGACTAGGTCTGTAAGTGCCTTCTGGGCCCTTCGGCATCGGGCTACTATTTCCCAGATCTGCAAGGCTGCCACCTGGTCTTTTCACACAGTTTACTAAGTCCTACCAGGTGGATGTTCAGACCTCATCTGATGCCAGCTTCGGGTGTAAGGGCCTTCCTGTGTTATCTAAAAGCCCACTGACATAGATTGAGAGGATATGATTTACTGTGAAGATAGTCTTTTTTTTTGTAGTTGGTGGTGGAGTAAACATCGATGTTTACTCTGAGCCTGATGAAGGAGACCCTGCGCGGCCCCGAAAGCGCTTGATGACTAACACCAAATAAATGGATTTACACTGACATCGAAGTCTCTGTCGTGCAGCTGCCTGGTGGGGCTCCAAACAATATGATAAGCACCAGTGCTGCAAAATATTTACTTTTGTAAAGATACTGGGAAACCTACACTATGTAAGAAAACTGCAGGGGCCCTGGGGCCGCAGGGGGGAACGTCTTGCATGTGCACTTAATATCCCTGGTAAAGGGAATTGAAGTAGTTTACAATCTGGGGAAGACAGATCTAATTAAATGCTGGGATTTGCAGCCTTGGCAAGTATTACCGTATATACTCGAGTATAAGCCGAGATTTTCAGCCCATTTTTTTGGGTGAAAAGTGCCCCCCTCGGCTTATACTCGAGTCAGCGCCAGCGACATTGAGGAGAGCGCCGTTGCATAATCGTTCCCATGCGTTGGATGTCATTCTGGAATGTCATTGATCTGGGCACTTGCGGCTGGTTAACACTTTCCTTTATGCTACACTCATACTAATCAGAATCATATTACGGCAATAATGATATCTGGCAACAGTTTCCCTTAATCACTCTCAATGGCACCTTAGTCACAACCAATGTGCAATATATGAATGATGTTTAGCTGTGGATGGAGATCCACACCAAGACGTGAAATTTGCTATTGGATTTAAGACATAATCACACTCGGGGGTTCTTTAATAACACAGGATTGTGACAAATTGTGACCCTAAGTAGAGCCATATGATTTTAATGGAAAGTAAAAATGCTATTATTTGAGTGTGCCTTTGTGTCTAGAGATGAAGGAAGGATGTGTAGCTGGTGTGAATGTCATTGAAGGGAACATGTTGCTTCCCTCTACCTGGGCAAAGTACAAATGCACTTTAAGTAAGAAATCAGTCCAGAATTATTCGAAACAAGCACAAAGCAAAGATAAATACATTACACTGTAATATATATATAAATATATTTATAACGCATGATAAGGTACCAGCTTTGGTGTGCTCTCTTCTTGTCTCATGCAGATGTTTCTCCATCTCAGCCAGTTGCCGAGTTGTCTTCTCCTCCACTTCCCTCACCTTGTGCTGCAGCTCTAGTTAAAAAGAAAAAAAAATGAAATCCAGTTTACCGCTATAAAATAATAGCGACATTGCTCTGATACAATATACTGAAGGCCTCTCTCTTATTTCTGCACAGAGCTGACATTGTGTACATAATGGATCAGAGGTCTCTCTGCTGTTAACATACAGAACTGACATTGTGCACATTATGTACTAAAGCTGCTCTACGATTTCTATACAGGACATACACAGAGCTGCCAGTGAGCACAGAATGGATCGGAGGTCTCTCTGCTGTACATACACAGAGCTGACACCGAGCACAGAATGGATCGGAGGTCTCTCTGCTGTACATACACAGAGCTGACACCGAGCACAGAATGGATCGGAGGTCTCTCTGCTGTACATACACAGAGCTGACACCGAGCACAGAATGGATCGGAGGTCTCCCTGCTGTACATACACAGAGCTGCCAGTGAGCACAGAATGGATCGGAGGTCTCTCTGCTGTACATACACAAAGATGTCACTGAGCACAGAATGGATCGGAGGTCTCCCTGCTGTACATACAGAGCTGACACCGAACACCGAATGGATCGGAGGTCTCCCTGCTGTACATACAGAGCTGACACCGAGCACAGAATGGATCAGAAGTCTCTCTGCTCTTCATACACAGTGTTGACACTGTAACATCATCCCCAGTTGTTTCTCTAGTAAACTGTCACAGCTGTCAGTTAACCCTCCCTATGATTTTTGGATTGGCTCCCCCTACATTACGGCTGTAACAGCTGGGATGTTGCAAATCAATCTGATGAATTGTAACCAGCAGCTGTTACAATGACACCATGGTATAATGAAAGCCCTCTGCCAGGCCTGGAATTCATCTGAAGCACTATGGCTGGAGAGGTCATACAAAAGAAAACATTCACTTATGCTGATAGAAAGAGAACTCCCACCAATCCAGCCTTGAGTTGTAATAATACATTACTGTGCCCCCATATATAACACTTCTATGAAACAAGAGTTTCACCAGAAACGTCAATTGCAATAAACCTAAAGTCATTGGTGGGAATGGCACTGCTCATACAACAGGCTTGAGAACTGAGCGATAAGTTGTGGTATGTAATCACTACGTTCTCAATCTATGCAGCCAATGAGGGACAGCTGCAGTGTCATACGTTGGCTCTAACTATTGGGAGGAATATATTTCATATTTCTCCTTTAAAGTCAACATATGGAGCTCTCTGTACCTTATGTGTATAGAACTGCCTGTGTGACATCAGCCCTGGTAGACACATTACAAGAGCCAAACTGGGGAGAAACCTTTAAAACAATTGCTACCCGAATCTTAAAAGGGTGTCATCTACTTTATCACAGCTTAGCAAGTAGCACAGAAGTTCCTGTCTCTCATGTACCAAATTCTAAATGAATAGGACATTCTTCTTTTGTTAGGCAGCATGCTGGCAATGCCTTTGTACCTCTCTCATATTCCCCTTTCTGATCCTGCAGTTGTTCTTTCAGCTGTTCAGCAGTTTCATACGCTTCTTGCAGTTTCCTCTCCAGCTCAGTTACTTGCATTGTCAGGACTTTCTCCCTCTCTTCTGTCTCGTGGAGAGACTGGCGGAGAAGTGAGGCCGTGTGATGACACTCTGCTATCTCAGCTTCCACTGCACAGATTACACGGAGTCAATATTAAACAATAGACAGACATATTCAGAGTCGCACGCTCCAGGAATAGGAAATCAGTCTCTTACATTTCTCTCTGGTCTCTGTCACTCTCCCCTCTAGGATGAGAGCGCTGCGCTTAAGTTCAGTGCTCAGGCGGTCTCTCTCTTCATTCAGAAGCTGTACTTCATTCTTTAGGTCTTCGTAAGATGGACATCTACAAAAGACAATCTAATGAGCCGTATGAAAAAGACGATGCTGGGCCTTTAATAGAAAACTAAGACAGTCTGTTTAGACTACAGCAACCAATTACCCCATATGTTCACCTATACATGCAACAGAAGACTGATTGGTTTTTGCTGGGAAGATGATTTGTCCTTTTGTAAATGGGGTCATATGGCAAGAGGACTCATGTTTCTCTGTAAACCAATTATTACAATCATATTAAAAAAGTGAGCAATCCCCCCTGCCGCTTCTTCCTCCATCGCAGCCAACACAGAATCTTTAGTATTGGCTGATGTCAGATGCTCAATTACTGCGTCTTTTGTAGGAGAGTGGCTAGTGATTGGCTGTTATCTAAAAGCGTAAAGCTGAATGTGTGCAAGAATCCTCCACAAACAATGTCAGTAGAATTACCCTTCTTTCATATTTATTCTATTCCCCCCCAATCACGGTGTCTAAATCAGGCCCCCAGTGTGTGAGTAGCTATATGACCAACATTAGAATATAAAAGTACATAGGCTATACAAGTACACAGCTGCTGTAACTGCTTACAATGTACTTTGTAAAGTGATGTGGGATGTTGGTGTAAAGAAATACAGGAAGTATAATCATAAGCTACTCTATAATTTAATTTTACTTACCCATCATCCTCCAGGACTGTATGTTTAGGTTTCTCATCCTGTGCCAACTTCACCAGGGTAAGTCTTTGTGCTACCATACCTAACAGAGGTAGAATAAAATGAAGTCATGATTAGACCAAGCAATACAAAAAGTGGATTAAATTACATGGAAATGATTTTTCTTTTTGTAATTTACACTTTTTTATTTTAAGTGTAATTCCAGACTTTTCTTGTGTTTTGGATAGAGTGAGGAAGGTTTAGAACCTCTGACGGGCCTGTATTCCTGTTTGTGTTCTCAGTAAGCAGAACATCACCTAAATGGGGAAATGGACAAGAATAAAAGACAGACAGAGGTGCGCTTATTGTTGACTGTGTCCCAGTTGGAGGGATTTCTTATTTACCACTGTGGCAGCAAGTGACAGGAAATTCTCCGCAATGGGGACTTAGGGTATATCCTTGTTCCACTTAAAAACAAAAAGAAAAAAAATCTGTTTGGCTGGACTTCTAATTCACGTAGGGGCCCAGAACTAGACTACTCAAGATGAGGTGTTACTAATACTTTTACTTGACTCTGCCCCTGCAAATACAAGGCTCTATTATTATGCTAGCTAAAGTGTAGTTTTGCACTGCATGCTGTTATTGCTTCCAGAACAGTGAGGACCCCAATAGCCTTCCCCAGGATAGAAGGACCTAATATATTAATGTTGGAAAGAAAGTGTGCTGGTCAAAGCTTGCATTATATTCATGAAAGTAGGGATGTCCAGATACCAATCGTATCGTACTTGGTATAGGTACTGATAATGTTCTGGCTCCAAGACTAGGCCAAGTACAAACCAGGCCAAGTACAAACCAGACCAAGTACAAGTACTCACAGATACCAATTACTGATACATTTTTGTTTATTTTCATGTGACAGTTTTCTCAAAACACTACAAACAAATGATTTTAGGTACAGTGGTGGAGCGCCAGGGCCCAGTCACAGCTGCAACCCTGGTGGTTGGCGTGATCTGATATCTGAACATCCCGACATGAAAGTAGTAGACGGAGGTTGTTATAGACAACAAAGTTTAGGCATTTTCCCTGAAATGAGAACTCATTGTTACCATCGTGCCCTGTTTCAATGTTATAAGACAGCCACAGATGGACCAAAATCTTCCAGAGAATGAGGAAAAGTAAGATATATATCACAGCTTGAATGAATGGCATGATCCCTAGGTATGGCTACAATTCTCACTCCGTTCAGTGAAGGATAAGGTCTGTCCATTTACAGGGAGAGTTTATTAACAATTTGGAAATCTCCCTGAGCTATAATCAGTACCTCAGTCTCCCTGATGCACTCATATCTATCCTGTAGGACAGCAGTGGCGAACCTATGGCACGCGTGCCACAGAGGGCACGCAGAGGCCCCTCTGGTGGGACGCGAGCCTAGGTCCCGGTTACAGTGACCCGCACACTCCAGGAGCAGGTCACTGTAAAGTCATGTTAAGTTTTTAAAGATGGCCGCTGCGAATCACGGCAGCCATCTTTAAACCTGGCAGGTGCCCAGATTCTATTTAATATATTGCCGAACCAGCAATATAATAAATCAGGTGTGCCCATTAGGTCGATCGCGATCTACCATTGATCGCAAAGCGATCCCTGGTAGATCGCGATGTCCTGTCATCCTGACGTGGGGCTTCTCTGGATCCCCGCTGGTCTCCCCCATCTGTATGCAGCAGGGATCCGAGAAGTGAACGAGGCGCTGCAGGCAGCGGCGGGGGTCGGAGCCGCTATAATCAGCAGCATGCCGAGCGTTGAGGAGAGAGAGAGAGAGAGAGCCGCTCGGCCTGGATCTGACAGCCAGACGCACATGCTGTGGTGACAACGGCTCCGTCATCCGACTACCCCCCTCCCCCCCCCAAAAAAAAACGTTCGCCATCATTGCTGCAGGACAATACAAAATACTACCTGAAGAAATGTTCAAACTCAGGAGAATCATCTGGTTTCTCATGGGCCTTGCATTAAGAATGGCTCCGGTCAGTGAACCAAAGAGCCTATGATGCTTTCAGCAGGGAATATTTGAGGCAAAGTAGTTAGCACTGGCGTTCTGGGTTTAGTGCCACCAGGGACACTGTATACATAGATGGCCTATGTTCTTCCTTTATTTGCAAGGCTTTTTTCAGAATGCCATAATTTCCACCAAGGTATGTGGGTACTGGGCATGTGATTAAGCTAGGCACATTGGACTAAAAGCACCCTTGGTGGTTGGAACATTTAGCAGTGCTGTTACACTGCAAACTATGTTGGCATGCAATAGTAAATTTAGGTTTAACTTTCCAATACTGCAGTATTTCTTACCTTGTATAGTGTCTACTCTCTTGGTAGCAAAGGAAACCCTCTGACCCAGAGTAACCAGTCGCTGCAGAGCTCCCCTGAAGGTCTTTTCCTGAGAGTCCAGTGCCTGCACAAAACTAACAGCATCCACAATTAATACAATTAAACATGTGGGTTTATTTAGAGTCTCCAGCTCCACCCTTGATTGTAATCCCTAAAATTTCTGCCCAGTCACATGCCTTCCCATGGTCCTCTTCCTCATCTCTCTGGGGTGTTGGTGGGTTGTCCTCTATACTGAAACGAGCTGCACTCACATAGCAATCTAAGCGCTGTTCTCTGCAGCACTCCCCGGTAAGCCCAGGGCCCTGGTGGTAGCTAAATCATCCCCTGGGCTCTCAGGAACTAAGTAAGAGGATAAGGGCTGGAGCAAGAGAACTTGGAGGGCAGCGCTGGAATGTGAAATGTAGTGGTGTCTTTCTCTTTTATTTCTGGGGGGAAATGCACGTGAATGGAGATAGGCATCTTGGAATTTATTTCACTATACACACACACACACGAGAAGTTCTACAGAATACAAAGAACCATTCACAGTAAACATTGCCTCAAAGGGCTTACAGTCTAATGTCACCAACACAGTCAAGAAGGCACACAGAAGGGCAGATTTTAAATGGAAGCTGGTTAAAGAGACACGGTCACCGTTCCCATGCAGGGCAAAGTGACACCCTCTCCGATTAGGACCCCCCCCAATATACTCATCCTACCTGTGCTCCCTTGCAGCAACAAGCTCGGACACTGGGCAAGAGCATTTGACCTGCTTCCCTGAGACAGTGCTCCAGCCCAGCAGCCAATCTCTAGGTTCGAGCACTGTCACATGACCAAGGAAGTGATGTCACTTCCCCGGAGTTGCCGACGCATCTGATCTCAGCATCGGATAAAAAGGACCAATGGATTGTTGGACATGTGAAGAACAGACACCAAGTTAGTAATGCTACTAGTTGTTGAACCAGGACCCTAGTGCTCGAAAGACACAGTGCTAACCCTTCAATTACAGTGCCTCCAAACAGCTGGAGAGCTAGGCTGATAAAAAGTTATAAAAACAATCCAAATGGACAAGAACTTTTTTTTATTTAATATATTGGACAAGGGCAAGCACTTTAATCGCCCAGAAATTAATTCTGCAATTGTGAACAGAGGAGCATTCATACCCATCAATCATTGATTTCAGCTTGAGCGATGTCTGTTCTGCTTTCTCAGCACGCCTGGTAAGGTGGGTAGATGTAGTATGTGCGGCACACAACTCATCCTGCAGAGACTAAAAAGAAGAAAAAAAAAAAACTATTTTGTTTATTTTGTGCACAGAGACATAACACGCATACCGTCCTCTAGAAAAAGGCACTTAAGAATAAATGTCACATGGAAAAGGTGGTGTTGCCACAGCAACCATAATACCTCGATATTTCTGGAGAAGGTGTGAAAATCACTGCATATGTTTGGTTGGGGTGCAAACTTATATCAGTTTTTATATGATAAATCAATGCCAGTCTCTCTGGGTTTGCAGATCTCCCCCACAGGGGTCCGTTAGGTTGTTATGGTAACTATACATCATCAGTTTAGCTTTGATTTCACATGTCTCTACTTCCTACTCACCTTGATTCGAAGCCGCTCAATTTCTAGTTCAGCTGTTCGGTCCTGCAGGGCATGTGAGTGAAGAACCAACTGCTGATTACTCTCTTGCAGAGAATTTTCAAGTGAGCAGATCTGGTATGGGGGGGGAAAACAAATATATGTAGAAAAATAAATATATGCAAACCCCGTGTAATACTACTTTCAGTTAAGACCAATTGTCGCCTTAAAAATATTCTTACTTCCTCTTAAACCCAAAAGGTTAAAAAGTAAATGGAAGCAGCACACGATGTCAAGCAGTGAAGTGGTAATTCAAGTCTTTACAGCCTTGAATTCTATATATACACTGCGGTGAGATTCAGCAAACTCTCAGTCCCTGTTCACACCTGGCCATTTTGACGCTGAAAGCTTAAGCGTCAAAACACACAACACAAGAAATCATATTCATTTCTATGTTTAGCAGCAAGCTGTAAAAACGCTGAACGCTGGAAAAGGTGCATGAGCTTCTTTCAGGCAGATTCAGCACATTTGTGCTCCATAGATTTCAATTGAAAATGTGGCAAAAACGCGTATGTTGGAGGTTTTGCGCATTTGTGAGCGTTTTCCGCGTGTTTTTAAGGCGCATATACATTGTGGAAGACCACGTTCAAAGCACACTGGGAAGCAAAATGGCTGATTCATGTCTGCAAAACTTTGACTCAGGCATTTATAAGGCTAATACAGGCACAACCATGCCTGTATGACCTGCGCAACCCCCTTTATAAAAACAGAGGAAGGAGGAGGCGGGGCTTGGATGCAAATTGCTTGCCAGATTTGGCCAGAATGGGAATCTTTCCCTCCGTCCCTGAAGGACAGGGACATGTGACGCATCTACAGTTTGTTGTGATACTGTTGTAGCTTATGTTTCTGCTTGCTTGTATGGCTATTGTAGGTTTGTGCAGCTGCAGATCTCCATGTGTTGTGGAACTACAAATCCCAGTATGCAGCTACCTCTGGGTGTCATGACAGTTGCTTTTCTGGGTGTACAGACATTTATACGCATCACAGCACTTGTAGTTCCACAGCTGCTGAAAGGCTGATGTTGTTAACCCCTTGGCTAATGTGTAGGAGTTTATTATGCTATGGGCCGGACCCCATGACAACCCCCCTCTGTCAATCCCTGCACTGGCTTCCTATAGCCCAAAGGATAAAATTAAAAATACTAACAACTGCGTACAAAGCCATCCACAACTCTGGCCCCGACTATATCTCCAACCTGGTCTCAAAGTATTACCCTAACCATCCCCTCCGCTCTTCAAAAGACCTCCTGCTTTCCAGCTCCGTCATCAACTCCTCCCATACTCGCCTCCAGGACTTCACTAGAGTGTCTCCCATCCTATGGAACTCTCAACCCCAACCTGTCAGTCTATCTCCCACACTGACTGCCTTTAGGCGATCCCTTAAGACTCATCTCTTCAGGGAAGCCTATCGTACCTCACCCTAACCACACAACCATCACATTCTCAAACAATCATCCCCGCGCAGCTACCTCCTCATGTATCACTTGCCCCTCCCTTTTAGATTGTAAGCCCTCACGGGCAGAGCCCTCCTTACCATCTTGTCTTAAATTGTATTGCGACTATAATGTCTTCCTTATACTGTAAAGCGCTGTGCAAACTATTGGCACTATATAAATCCTTTATAATAATAATAATAATAATAATAATAATAATAAACTCATATGCAGAAACCCGCATCGCGCATTTAGGGGAAACGTGCATTAACGCGCAAAAACGCACGTAAAGCACGTAAACCGCACAAAGGTAAAAAGTATGTAAAACGTGCAGAAACGCCGACGCCTAGGTGTGAATGGGGACTCACTTGTGCTTGTAGGATGGCCTGCAGCTTCTTGTCCCAGAATTTTGTGCAACCAAAAGCATTTCAGTGGGACAGTAAGGACCAAATGATGGGTGGAGTTAAGAACACCTGCCTGCACAAACACAAGCTCAGCAACCAATGTTACCAAAGCATCTGATTATAGTCAAAGTAACCTCAAGTGGTGAGGTGGCCTGATGCACTTCAGCTATGCTGGCTGGTGTATTAACAGTGTTCTGGAAGGCTGTGTGGCCAATAGGAATTTAGGATTTAATTGTTAAGTTTGTGTATGTATACCTTTGGGATAATTAAAAGTCCTAAAGTGTCAGTCTACCCAAAAGAGATATTTTTATTAGAAGAAGGGGAGCCTGGTGGGTTGATTCAGCCCCTGGCTTCTCCAAGGTCTGGATGCTACCAAATAGGATCTTTGTATCAAAGCTCTGACTCTGTTCTTGTCTCCTCATAATGGTCACAGCAGGTATGCTGACGTCTCATTATTAGAGTTCCTAAGGCCTTGTTCACACCAAGCGCGGAGCAGATCCAGACCAGAGCAGGTGCAGACCGGATCAAAACTGCGTCCAATGTATTCCTATGGTATTTTGACCTCCAGTTCACATCGCAGCGTGCGGATCCAGACCGGATGAAAAAACTGCGGCAAGCCCTATTTTACCTGCTCTGGATCTGGAACGCATCAAAAATGCATCTAAAACGCAAAAACGCATGCAAGTGCCTGAAAGCCCATGTTAAACTTAAACTGGCCCTAAACGCATCAAAAACGCATCCAAAACGCGGCACAACCCACTGCACTGCGTGTGCAAAAATCTGAATGGATCTGGTCTGCATTTGGTGTGAACAAGGCCTAAGACATAAAGGATTGTTGTACGGTTTAAATATGCAGTGTCAATGAAAAACGTGTGTGTGTCACTGTTACAGGTGGCCACATTGGCCAACAAAGAGCTACGTGCACCTTACACCCCGGAACTCACCCTCTCTTGGATCTTCTGTTCATCGCTCTCCTTGTTGATTTCTTCCGATTTTAGCTGCACCATCAAACTGAACACTTTCTCTCTCCATCGCTTCAGCAGCAGCTGTGTTTTCTGACCATCCATGTGTGTTCCCTAACAAAGCAACAATTACAAGATTCTTAGCAAACTGACAAGCAAATGACACGGGTTCTCTAAATGGAAAAGGTTAAAGGGTTATTAAACAGTCAGTGCGTTTTTGCTTATATCTACCACTAGCAAGCAGTAGATATATGCAAAAACTTTTTGAAAAAAAACCTTCTGGAACAGGTTTAAACTTACCTATGTCTTCGCCGCGCGCTCCCGTCCGAACATCTGAAGGGTCTCGGGTGGTCGCATAGGATCTTGGCACGGTCGCATACCCAGTACAGATGTTCGGCCGGGAGACGAGGAGAGACACGAGGTAAGTCTATGGAGCAACGTGCACCCGCACAGACTCTGTGGGACATGAGAGAAGAGGAGGAATTAGCCTTTAATGTCACTCTAATGGTATGTATTTCATGCTGCTGGAATGTAAAAACCCAAAACAAGTGGCCAAACAAGTATGCAGATCAGGAATGTGAGAGTAAGGTTAGAAGTCCTCTTCCGTATACTCGTTCTGGACCAGCGATGTATTATCCGAAACAGGTAACATGTACTGGATGCTAAATGTAAATTCTGTGTAAAGTCATTGGCGTGCCTCCTCATTTCTATCTGCTTCATATATCTGTGGGAAGCGATGTATTAAGGGAGGAACTGGAACCAGCAATCTGAGGCTGATCCACCCCAGAGTTTAAAATACTGAAGCCAATGTGTCAGCAGGACCGCCAGACAACTTTCATTTTCACAAGGAGTGGTCAACAATGGCAGCCTCCATAAGATTTCTTACAGTCACATAAAAACATTAAAAGACTATATACATTCCATTTATTGCTTTATATTGTCAGAACAAAAGCCAAGTGATTAACTCATAAAATGACTTACTGCCTTTTTGCAGAGATCGCTTTCCTGTAGCGACAATATGTGTGTGAGAGAGGACAGACGAGTCTGCAGGAGAGACATGGAGGTCTGCAAAGCTTCTCGCTCTTTCTCCAGAGTCTGGAAAAACCCAGAGACACAGATGTAAACATTCCAACGTAAAACATTTCAGTATCTAGCAATCCCCACCCTTTGCATGGAGAGGATCTCACCTGGGTTGTCTCCCTCACAGGTTAGTATTGTGTATTGTAAAGTCAGGGTTCAGGCATCATGTACCCATAAACATAAGATCAAGAGGTGTGTGGAAGGTGGTGCATGATCCGTTTGTTTGCCTGGAAGTATATAGTGTCTAGTAAGCTTAGTATTGAAATTGGTAGTAGACAAATTGTAGACGGCTCCCTTTGGTCTACAGATACCAGGATTCCGGTGTTGGAACGTTGGGTGTGATACTATTCTTATTGTGGTATACTGCGCTTTGTGCTTTACCATAGTCCTGAAGAGTGCGTGTCTGACCCCTGAAATGCATTGGTACTTTGATGCGATAAATAAAGCAGATCTATATAATACCCAAAACTCCATAGAATCTTCTTTTAAAACTTAATGTCTCTTTCTTCTATAAGCAGAACATGACAGTTACTCGATAACATCACCACCCAATCGCTAATGGAGATGCCCAACTTAGCCACAGTTAAGAGAAAGAGAGAACCTGTACTGATTGTTTTTGTTTTCCCCAGTAAGGCAGCAATAGCCTTGCTACGTTCCTTCCTTCACCATTCACAGCCAACCTTAACCGCCTTCTGGCCGGCCGTTGTAAGAAAACGACCGGCCGTACTTTGTAAGAAAACGGCCGGCCGAGCGCTTCGTAGATGCGAGTGGCCGTCTAAAGACGGCCTGTTGGCCCCGCCCACTCACGCAAGCGGGAAACTACCCAAATTTAAAAGACAGGCAGCGATGTCATGTTTACATACAAGCGATCCGCAGGCTATAGAGATTTCTGCTTCATCAGCTTCTTTGGGGGTCCCTAGGTGACATTAGGGGTCTTGGAGACCCCTGATGTCTCCAAAAAGAGGACCTGCTATCACATAGGGGGATTTCTTAGCCCCCTATGTGATAACAATAAAGTTAAGTGAAAAAAAAAAAATTAGGAAACAAAATTAAAGTTGTAAAAAAAAAAAGTCACACATGAAAAAAAATAAAAAACAATTTTGTGTTTTGTTTTTTTAAAATCCCCACCCAAACATACACGCATGCAAACATGCTTCGGGTGCGCATACGTGCGAAAACGACAATTGCGCCCATAACGCCACACGGTACATATCGCAGCGAACGTCAGAGTGGGAGCAATAATTCTAGGGCCATTTATCAGTGATTAATGGCCCTAGAATTATTGCTCCCACTCCCATTAATCACTGATAACACTAAACTGATGAGCGGTAAAAGCTTTTAAAGCGTCGCCTATGGCCAATTTGGGTATGGTAGTTTTTTTGCGTTTTTGCAGGTGCGCTCAAATTTGAAGCCTTGACACGTTTGGTGTCTATTTACCCGACGTGACCCCGTCTTTTATGTTTTACCAAAAAATTGGGTAATAATAAATGTTTCCGAACAGAATGTAAAAAAACTTTTCTCAAAATTTTTTAGTAATTTTTCTTTAAGTGCTTGAAGTCTGCGGTGTTTAGACCCCCTACCTGGCCAGGCCATTTTTCAGTGTTCAGCGCTGCGGTACTTTGACTGACATTTATTCCGTCATGCAACGTTGTACTGAAATGAATTATATACCATTTTTTTGGGACACATAGAGCTTTCTTTTGGTGGTATTTATTCACCACTGGCGGTTTTATTTTTTACTATAATTAGGAAAAATTACAGAAAATTTTGAAAAAAAAAAGTTGTTTTTTTTTACATTATGTTGAAACATTATTACCCAGTTTTTTTGGTAAAATATAAAAGACGGGGTCACGTCGGGTAAATAGACACCAAACATGTCAAGCTTTAAAATTGCGCACACCCGCGAAATCGCAGAAAACTACCATACCCAAAATTGGCCATAGGCGACGCTTTAAAAGCTTTTA